TAGTGAGTTTCCTCCTCAGTGTTTTAACCGCAGCACCTTCGAGCTGTGCCAAATAGTGAGTTTCCTCCTCAGTGTTTTAACCACAGCACCTTTGAGCTGTGCCAAACAGGTAGCTATGAGAGGGCCTGCTGTGCTTCAGGGGAAGACGGGAGTATACTGTGTGCGCCGTTTAACATAATGTATCAGCTTGAAGCTCAAGAGACAATGCCATCTGGATGGACGGGCAAGACTTGATAACGGCTAGAAAAAAGGCATTGTCAATGCCTACAAGGCCTCGCAACCCCGCCTTAAGACCTTGGGGCCTTGCTTGTAGCTCAAAGGACATCACATCTGGACCAGTGGAACTTGGACTCCATCGAACAAGTTGAACCAATCTGGATTAAGAAGGGTTTTTTTTTTTGTTTTTTTTTTTTTTTGTTGTTGTTGTTGTTGTTGTTGAAAACGCCCCATTAAGAAGTTAGAAACGCTGACAGAGAAGTTTTTGAGTTTACCTAGTGTTTTGTTGAGCTTGCTTTTTGTGTGTTTTTGGAAGGATCTATTTCTGCATGTCCTGCCAATTCTTATCCTTGTTTGTTGTACTCATGTAACTTTGTGGGACTCTGTACACATCTGTGCATATGCCTGCTGACTAAGCTTGGATAGCCAGTGGGTTGATCTAAGACTCAGAGAGAGGGAGAGACAAAGAATGAACCGCAGACATCAAAGCCGTTGACCGGACAGAAAAGACGAGTCTTCGAGGGCAAAAACAGACTCAATGAACAGTTTGACTCCGTTTTTCTCTTCAAAATGAAAAAATGATGTATATTACCAAACGGGTCTTCTCCTCTGCTATCCAGCACATTGGACCCAAATTAACGCCGAGATGGATGATCAATTACTCGTTTCTGTCCGTCTCATTCCATCCATCAGGGTTCGAACTCAGGATGAACTGGTGATTAAGAGTTACATGTCTGTGTGTGTGTGTGTGTGTCTTGTGATGTTCGCTATACACAACTCCATAAAAAGAGCGTGACTGTGGCAGACTCTGTGTGTCTGTGAGTGAGTGTGTGAGACTGTGTGTGTGTGTGTGTGTGTGTGTGTGTGTGTGTGTGTGTGTGTGTGTGTGTGTGTGTGTGTGTGTGTGTGTGTGTGTGTGTGTGTTTGAGAGAGAGAGGCAGAGAGAGAGAGAGTGTGTGTGTGTGTGTGTGTGTCATAGATTTTCCCCAAAACAGCCCCAATTCCACCCAGATGAATAGATTCAGAATCAAAGCAGTATTTGTTCTTGCAGCTCCCCTTTTTTATCTACTGAAATACAGGATGCTTCGAAAAAACAAGGATTTGCTAGAAAAAAAAGAGATGATCTTCATAAATTAGCTGAATCAAATCGTTGCTGTGCCTCTTACGTACAAGGCTGCCCACGTTGATTGTGGTTGAGCGGCAGCTTCCCACATCCCCGTGTGCCTTCACGACCCACTTGCACGTTACTTCAGGAGGCAGAGTACAACGGAAGGTATGCCCCTGTGCATTTCTCTTCAGGCCTTCATCCTCCTGTTCATTTCACTTCAGATCTTCAGCTTATACTTAGTCTTTGTGTCCGTCCTTCATCTTCATACTTCCGTTCATTTCATTTCTGATCTTCCATAGTCCACGCCCGAACCGGTCCTGTCCGTAGACATTAACTGCTCCTCAACCCAACATGTTCCCCTCCAGTCCCTTTGTGCTACTAACAAATACATACGAATGAGCATCGTTAAGAGAACAGACGATATGAAGTGCGTGTGTGTGTGTGTTGTCATATTCGCTATACACTCAAAAAAAGCATGACTGTACCGAACAGACTGTTTCGTCGGACTCTGTGTGTGTGTGTGTGTGTGTGTGTGTGTGGAAACTGTCACCACAGCAACATCTTTTCCATCCAGATGAGCAGATACAAAATTGAAACAGCTTCACCTCTGTAGCCAACAACATAAAGCACACTAGAATGACTAAAATCATAGTAAAATGAGTTTTTTGTGTGTATTTTATCATGCTCGCTATAGACAACTCCACAAAAATAAAAAGCATGGCATTGACTATGCCAGACTGTTTCGTCAGCTTTTCACCGACTCATCAGGAGGGCGATATGATGTGTGTGTGTGTGTGTGTGTGTGTGTGTTTGTGTGTGTGTGATGATGATGTGTGTGTGTGTGTGTTGTGTGATGATGTGTGTGTGATATAATGTGTGTGTGTGATATGATGCGTGTGTGTGTCATATGATGCGCGCGTGTGTGTGTGTGTATGTTTGTGACATGATGTCTGTGTGTGTGTGTATGCCATTCAGCCACATTGGGCTATCCCGCCACATGACATTATTTCATATTCTGTTCAGGAAACTGAAACCTTTAGTATTCCTCCATATGTAGCCATATCTTGCATCTCCCAAACTTCAATGGTCCCTAAGATTGCAAGACCGGTCAATGGTTTCAGTTCTCTTTATGGAACCTATTCTATCCGTAAAATTGTCGCAATCATCACGGCCAGAGGGCCAGACCCCTTCGATCAACGCTTTTGGGTTCTCCAAGGGCGTACTCACTGCAGGCAGGAGTCCTTTCGACGTAACTGCTGTCTGACACATCACACGCAGCCGTAATCTTGAGCTACTAGGATTCACCGCCGTCCCTAACAAAGGCTGCATTCTCTGGAAAAAAGTACTTAGTGTGAGGATGCTCTAACACTTCCTTTCTTCCTTTCTAGTGAGGATGCTCTACGACTTCCTTTCTTCCTTTCTAG